GTGGTTTTATGGAACACAAAAACAAAAGAATAACATATAAGCAGAAATCTCTCCACTGCTTTTATATCCGTGCCTAATCTGTATACTGAATGACAATGATTTCCAACCCTCATTTACGGATCGAGTCATGAAGAAAGACAGAGTGAAATCCCATTTTGTTGCCCTTAAATTGTTAAGATTTTGCCAGAGTAAACTCGATCCCTAATTGGTGTAGCTTTTTGCTACCAGTGATATAGTGTCACACCGTCACTGATGACTGTCAGGTAAACTTTCTATATAGAAGTATTTCTCCGTTGAAGCGTCTATCTGATTTCCCTTTCAGCACCTCGAATGACACCCCGCTAAAAGCTGGCACAATACGCTTCCCGCACACAACGCTGTCACCAAAGACAACTTGGGAGAAGCGAGTGTTTTGAGAGTTTGAAACAAAATAGCTGGTGCAGCATTTCCCCATTTCCGTCTGAAATCCTTGACACCAGAGGATTTACAGTGAAGTGAAGTGAGGTGGGTGCTGTATGGAACGAGCTGTGGGGGCTGCGTTAGCCGGGGTGGGGGGTGGGGGTCCGCACTACATTCGTGCTGACAGGGATCCTCCCTGTAGCGCATGCTTTTTTTCCATTAGTTCCTTACTCACTCTCTTGCCCTCCAGACCCACAGAGTGAGGAAGATTTAAGTGGCCAGTCAAGAGAAATCCCCAAGGTTTGGCAGGTGTGAGGTCTGGCTTCATTATCTACAGACACCTCTGTCCAATTATGAGCCTTGCTCCCTCTGTGACGATGATGATGCTGTGTGTGTGACTATAGGTGTGTGTGTGCACGTGGGTATGTGTGTGTGGAGGGCATGAATAAGCCGCCCTCATTGTTATCTGTCTAACTATCAAGATTCTCTCTTCCATTGTGACATCATTGACAATTTCACATAAAAAAATGTATGCACGCGCACTCATACTCACATATCACAACCACGGACACACACGCGCACACAGCATGCACATGCCTTTTGTTTAGATTTAGCTCCATAGATCGGCCTAAACCTGAAATATTCGGCCCATGGCCTCATTTCCTCCTCTGCTCTACTTGGAAGAAGAAAGCAACACCTGAAAACTACTCGTGCGCTCACAGTAACGGTCACTTCCCACCGAAAATAATTAGGACTCGCGATAAAGAACAACCAAAGGCCCATAATAAATTACACACAACAATTCTGTGATCAAAAGTCTCACTGGTTTTGATACATCTCCATGGTTTCTCCATTTTGCTGACCCACTGGTTCCAAAATGTCAGCTACTACAAACTGGAGCAGTGCCTTGTAAGCTGCTTCAAACAAGCACAGGGGTCTCTTTCTCTGGACTGCTTTTGGACACCCCCTGCTGACACTAAAGTGAAACACAACCTACAGAACCTTCTTTCCAAAGCAGACTGCACTGATAAACATGACAGAACAGATGACAAAAATATCATCTATTTTAAGCGACGTGCACCTTAAAGATGGAGAGAAGAAACCTAATTATTTATGTGCTACTACGGCCACATTTGCATTAATGCATGCTACCACGCTAGATCTTAATACTTGACAATACAGACAATTTTAAACTACATTATTTTTAAAGTGGGGGGGGGGTTACATTTTTGTCTTAATTTATATCCCAGCATGTTCCTTGGGATTGCACACACTCCTCCCAGGGCTATGGCCTGCTATTGTCTATGAAGCCACATGTACCCTCTCCTCTCTGGTTTGCATGCACTCATATGCAGCCCTATCATCTGCATCACTTGGCAGATACAAAGAGCATAGCACTGATTTGCGTGTGAGCATGTGCGCCTTTTGTGTGTAGCACGGCTGCACTTGCTTGCTGTGCAAATGTGTGTGTTTGTGCGCATGCTTGTGTACAGTGTCTTTTTTTTCTTATATGATAAAGTGGGAGTGTCAGAGGCATCTGATGGTTCCCAGACTTTGGCTCTGTTTTATCTGATGCTGAGATGGCAGCTGTTGACCAAAGGAATTCATACATGTGTGTATAATTTGTCTTATGGCTCAAAACAAACTCGGGACATGGGACATCTTTTAGCCATTCAATTTGACACGACACAAACCAAAGGTCGCCGTGCGTGTTTTGGTTTCCTGAGTTAAGGACTGTCTAGAAATAGAACGGACAACAAATCTATCTTATTTTCTTGGAACTGTACAAATAACAAATCATTAACATATAAGAACAAATGCGGGTTGAAGCAGGTTGCAGCACAGCTCTGAACTCACCAATTTATTTGCCTCCTCTTAATGATGATAATCTTAGGACTGGCGGCAGCAAATGAGCTTCGCCTGAAAAAAAAAAATTGCATGAATTAATAATGAGCAAAATTACTCAAACTCTGCACACCACAACCTGCCGCAGCACGGTGGGCAGTGGGCCCTAAGGTGACAAAGCTGGGTAAATATTTTATGTCTAAATATGATTTTGGGGTCCTGAGTCTTCTGTCTGACAATGCTGCCCTTATCCTTGCAGAACATGGGTAAACCATTAAGCTTAGAGGAGACTTGGAATCCATCGGCAGCTCTTATCTGGATGCAAGCGAGAGAGATCAGGTTTGCGTGCAGCAGTCGGCTTTTGAGGCTTATGTCTGTGAAGTGAGTCGACGGTGTTCTTTGGGTGCCCTCAGGTGGAAGCCTGGTATAATTGCTGTTGACAACCTACAAGTCATTGTGCAATTAAAGCATCTGCCGCTCCTGTGTGGCAGTGGGCTGTGATGCCTTGTGACAGCTCGTAGCCATTAAGCAACTGTAAGCAGCTGGCGTGCCTCGGTGGGGGAAAATAATGTGACAGAGGCACTCCCCCCTATTGTTGCCCTTGTCTCATTGGGGAAAAGAGGGACATTACATCACTCACCAAATACACGGGTGTCTCAATGAATGGGAAAGGGGCATGTCTACAAATTAGGACTGGCACAGCTGGATGTCCAAATGATAGTTTGTTTCTGAATGCAAAAACTGAAAGTGCTTTTATTGTTTTCTAACAAGAGATGGAAGCCTAGGGAAAACACAATCAAGACTATGCAGCGTGCTCAACCAGGAGCTATTGGAAATTAATCAAATAGTGAACTGATTGATTAGTTCAAGTGAAAACAATGACAACAATTAGATAATTCAGAGTTTATGGATTTTTTTTTCTTTTGTTTTGGGTTTTTTGGGGGGATGTAAAACAACAAATTTTCATTGGTTTCAACTTGTTACATGTTTTTCTTCTTCATATCACTGAAATTTAATATCTCTGGATCTTAAATTATTTTGAGCAGAAACTGAAACATATAAACTGGGAAAAACTGTGATGAGCACTTCTTGTTACTTTCTGATATTTCAAATCATTAAGTGGAAAAACGATCTGCCCAAATAATAAATGACTACAATTGTTGTTTGGGAATATTTTCACTGCGGTTATTGCGGTGTTTCTGAACTTAACGAAGTGACCAAACTGCTCAATCATACGAGAGAAAGAAGAATCCTAAGCTTCGAGTGTGAAAAGTGAAAAAAAAAAAACAGATTTACAGTTCTAGATCAAAGTAGGGAGCATTTTGGCCAGTTCTTCACTGCTGGGAGAAGGGCGGGAGGGACATAAGTCTTTTTTTTTATTACACCACCACTAAATCATTTGGGTGTCACATGTAAATGTGGTCTTTTGATGTACATTTAAGTATACTGAATTTGCGAGGGAGGGGGGGATTTATGTGAATGCAATTTGCACACTCTTTAGTCAGATGCAATTATTTATTTAATTAGCTCATTTTCATGTCTCCATGTCTCCTTCTGAGCTGTGTCATCAAATTTCAAACTGCTAAGAAAACAGTACTTTGTTAATAATATCATCAATGCATTTACCATATCACTAACTGAACATTTATGGATTATACGTGAAATCATAAGTCAAATAGGGTGATAATCAACTAGTCACATTCATGTGGGTAGGCTATGAAAGGCCTTGCAAGTCTAAGTGTGTGTGTTCATGTGTCTAGTGTACTTAAATATGTGTGTGTACCTCCTGTCTGTCTCAAGGATTTGCTGTTTCAGCAGGGAAGGAATCAGTCCTATGCCTTTGCCATGCAGGAAAGTCAGCGTAAGGAAATTCCTGAGCTTCACAGTGGCAATCAGGCAGTTAAGGACCTGCCACTGAAAATGGAGCTGTATGTCAGTCACTTTCATGGCTTATTCACACTAGCACAACTGCTCTGGCATAAAAAAAAAAAGAGGCATTCTCATTCACTCACACCAACAACCAAGCAAATTGCCCTTATTTGAAAATGGTAGAGCATGTATATTTAAGTAGCCTACCATCTGAAAGCTTACCTTGCACACGAGCAATACTCTATTAAGTCGCTGCAGGCACCACAGCAAGTGTTAAGGCAATATTCTGCTGCCTAGAGTAAACAATAAAGCTAACTGCTGATTTCCGTGCCTACGTAAGTTAGAATTTGACATTTATATGGCCCAACAAATAGTTTCAACATGCATGTAAAAGCCATCGTTGCCTCTCTTTGTGACATTTCTAATAAGTAGTAACCGTTTTGGTGGCTTTCTAGGAACAAAGAGGTAAGCTAATAGCTACTATCCTCTCCAAGTCAACTAATGCAGCTACTCGTTAAACCTTTAAATAATATACTTTCTGTTTTTAAAGAATTTTAAATTTTGAAATCAGATTTAGTTTTGTTCAGCATCTGGAAAGCAGAGCCTGAAGACCTCGAATGGGCCGGGGGCACCACCACACAATGATGTTGCGTTCAAGTGCTCATAAATACGCAATTTCAGCTTTTAAAATCCCGGTTTACAAAAGAATTAACACAGTGTTAAATAGATATTGGTTTATTCTAAATAGGACAGTCAAACACTAAGTCAGATAGCTTTATTAATAGTATTATTTATTGACTTGTAAGTTGATTTGGGTGATTAGACTTTGTAGTTTGATTTTCCCACGTTTCTCAAAGCAGCATATGACGACACCAGCAAAGCCTTGTGCGGTTGCCGCAAACCCAACGTAGAATGTCGTAAAACGTGGAGTCGGCAGAGAAGTGAAGTGCTAGTTCTATTGATATGCAAACCGTGGTAGATTTCGCAGTTGGAAATAGGTAGTGATGTTTCATTGGCTACTTTTTGACCCCAGTCGGCATGTTTTAAAACTACAATGGACGCAGCGAGGACACAGAAAATGAGCTGATCTCCAGCAAAACCACCTCGAAAATGGCTGCATACACCGCTGAAGGTAAAACAAAACAGTTGCTAAAATTCATAACTGGAAGACAAATCTATGATATCACGATTTAGCTCCAAGTTATTGTAGCTATCTTGTAATCACTTTCACAGATGTACATTATGCAACGTCCTATGAAGTCATTATTTCCTGTTTTGTGTTCTCTGCCATCCGAAGTGGCTGCAGGTCATTCTGTGGTGGTGGAAGTGAGCCCAGATATCCACATCTGTGGCTCCTGCAAAAAGCAGTACAATAATTATAAGGTCTTTCTCGCCCATAAGCAAAATGAATGTTTCCTGTCCACACCTGACACCCCAACCACTACTGCCACATCCACTCTCACAGGTAACATACTCCTCTTTCTGCTTTTGCTGTCCATAATTTGAATGAAAAATTGACTTTGCCTGTCAAATTATTTTCAGACTCCAGCACTGAGTTTATTTTTGAGGAGACCTACCAGACCTGTGTTGTGAGAGGTGTCAAAAAGATGACCAAAGCCCCAAAGACACCTTCCAAAAAACTAAAACCTGCCCTGACTTCAAAGAGACACAGCTGCTGTTTCTCAGGTTGGTGCCTCTTGCTGCTGATGAACACAGATCTTCAATCTCTAACAGGAAGAACTGCACTTCCTGCCACTCAAGCCCCATATCATTAATAGCTGTAAAAAGTATTTGCCTCATTCACTTTCCTGTTCCATATCATCAAACAAACTTTATTAAGTAAAATACGAAGAAAACCCAAGTATATACAAAATACAGTTTTTAAAAGCTAATTTCATTGATTAAGATAAGATAAGATAAGATAAGATAACCTTTATTAGTCCCACACGTGGGAAATTTGTTTTGTCACAGCAGGAAGTGGACAGTGCAAAAGTTATGACGCAAAAATTATTTATTAGAAAAAAAGGCTATCCAAAGCTGCCCTGTGTGAAAAGATAATCAAGCAAATCCATAAATAACAAAATTACACCCAAGAGTGCATCGATGGAGCATCCAGGGGGTCACAAAAGAACCCATCTAAGGAACTCTAAGCCTTACTTACCTCAGTTAAAGCTAGTGATCATTATTCAACAATAATAAAGAGACTGTGCAAAACTTGACTTTAGGAAAATATTCTGTGGACTGACGAGACAAAAGTTTAACTTTTTGGCAGGTTTGCATCCTGTCACAGCATTTCATAAACAACATCATACCAACAGTCAAACATGGTGGTATTGTGATGGTCTTGGGCTGCTTTACTCCTTCAGGACCTGGATGACTAGCTATAATTCAAAGAACCATGAATTCTGCTCTCTACTACAAAATCAGTTTGGCTTATGCAGCAGGACAATAATCCAAAAAACACATTGGCAAGTTCAAAATTCCATTCCAGTTTTGGAAAGTGCTGTAAAACAGCCACCGCTGACACAAAATGCTGTGCATCAGCAAAAAATTGAAAAGAGAGGCAGTAAAGTAGAACTAAAATGTACAAAATGACACAAGTAAAAACAACCATAAAAGAGTTTTATAAACGCACCCCCACAAATTTATGGGCACAAAGCATCAACAGAGTGACAAATAGGCAAAAAAAGAAGAAGAAAGAAATCGGGAACTTTTTCACAGCACTGTATTTATTTAGTACAGTGTTGATTGGACTTTTCACAAATGCAGAGGCTGCACACAATTTAAGAAAATGTTTGTTTTGTTTTTTTTACAATCTACAGGTTGCACTTTCAAGACACAGTATGGCCAAAAAGACATGGAACGGCATCTTAAAACTCACACCGGTACGCAAATGCTTTCAAAATATGTTCTTCGGTTGCAAAACCCCTTTAGAGTAAGGTTTAACCCCAGTTGTTTTTCTGTCTGCCATCCAGGTGAGAAGCCATTTGAATGTGAACTGTGCCACAAACGCTTCAGTCGGCGGGACAAGCTGAACATGCACAGCCGCTCGCACACAGGTGAGAAGCCACACAAATGTAAACACTGTCCCTATGCAGCAGCAGACAGCAGCAGCCTGAAGAAGCACCTGCGCATCCACTATGATGAACGGCCATTCAAATGCCAGATCTGTCCTTACGCCAGCCGCAACTCCAGCCAACTTACCGTGCATCTCCGCTCTCACACAGGTAGGTAGACAAAAAAATCCACAATTGTCAGCAGCTGTGTGACAGTTGTAGCTTAGAGACTGGTATTAAAACTGGCTTTATTTTGTTTATGTATTTATTTTCTAAGGGGATGCACCTTTTCAGTGCCAACAATGCGATGCAAAGTTCAAAATAAACTCAGACCTGAAGAGGCACATCCGGATTCACTCCGGCGAAAAGCCTTACAAATGTGACTTTTGTGAGTACTGCTGCGCCATGAAAGGCAACCTGAAATCGCACATTCAGATCAAACATGGTACGGAGAACTCCTTTCAGTGCGTGCACTGTGATTTCAAGTGTGCCAACAAGACTGCTCTGCGACAACACTTGAGAGAACACCAACCCACTCAGCCCATTCAGTGTTCCAAGTGCACTTACTCCTGCTCCAGCAAGGGGGCGCTCAAGGTCCACGAGCGGATCCACTCTGAAGACCGCCCTTTCAAATGTGACTTCTGCAACTTTGCCTCTAAGCAGCGCAGCAATCTTGTCATCCACAAGAAGAAGTGTCAGTCGGATAAGCTTGAAAAAGGCAGCGGTGGGAAAGGAGGCAGAGGTGGAGGCAAAAATTTAGGCACCGACTCTCCGAAGCCTGTCAGCTCTCGGTATCGAGCCAAACTAGATGCAGCTCGAGCCTTTTGCTGCGACTCGTGTGACGCTTCGTTTGTGAGGGAGGACTCCCTGCGGAGCCACAAAAAGCAGCATCGGGACACTCAGAGTGTGTTGCAACTCCAGCTCTCTACCCCAGCAGAAGCAGTTAACTTGGTTCCCGTTACCATGTCACAAACCAGCTCTGAGCTCGAAGTTCCTATCCCGTGTAACCCAATGCCTCCTTATAGTAATACACAGCTTAAAATCATTGTATCTCACCCGTTAGGCCAGGATAACCCCTTGCTCTCAACTGGTGGGGATGGCCAGAATAAGAGCAACATGGTCTTGCTTAGCCCAGAAAACCAGGACATGGTAGTTAACTCCATGATCCAGCAGGTCAACCTGCTGGCGCCTGTACAACCACTCGGTTCATCCCAAACCACAGAAGCCACTCTTGAACCCCAGACTGTCCTCCTGACTCAACTCAGCACCGACGATGCCAGCAACCCGCTCCACCAGGCCCTGATGCAAACGGCCATAACCGCTCAGGACTCGAGCAGCAGCACACAGACGTTCATCACCACCTGCTCTGAACTGGAGGGGCTCAATGCTTTGATCCAGGAAGGTGGCACAGAGATTACAGTGGTTACGGAAGGAAACTCTGCTTTGGTGACCACAGCACCTCTGCCTGATGTGGACATGTCCAAGCCAGCAGAGATGGTGACGGTTGAGGAGAGTGCCTTACCCTGTGAGGAAAGTGCATTACTGGTGCCAAACATCAGCCTGGGCAGCCAGAATGTGGTCATCCATGGCGTTCCACTTATAGTGTCTCCTCAGCCTCAGCAGAGCACGGTGGATCAGCTCTCCCCTCATGCACTCTATTCCAATTCACACACACTCGAAAGCATCCCACAGTGAACAGCGTTGTGTGTTTCTGAAAGTTAAAAGACAGTAACTGCATCATAAGCTATTTCTCTGCTGATAGTAACTTGTAGATCTAACGGTAACCACTAAAATAGCAAGACTGTTGGCTTTGGAGGTGTCGTTTGTTTAGTCTTAACATTTTAGAATAAAACATCAATTTTAACATTGTTTCATGCACTGTATCTTCAAGTGTTATATTTGCAGGCATCAAAAATTGAAATTAAACCATATTTCAGTTACAATATTTAATTGAAATCAGGTTTAATTTAAAGCAACATCATACAAAAAAATAAAAGAATAATACCGCAAATTAACAAAATGTGAAAGTGACTGAATGTATTTGTATGATGTATTTTTTATGTTTGTCCATTAGGTGGCAGCAGAGTGATGAGAGTATATAATGAAACTTGCTCTGCTTTTATGGAGTATTCAGACTGTAAGTGTACTGCTGCCCCGTGGTATTGATTATACATATTCTGTATGTATAGCTTTTGTTAAAAATAAATATTTTTTTCAAGCCCTCATTCTGAATCTGAAAAAGTAGATGTCAATTGTAGAAAGCATTAGGCTGCATATCAAGGTCTTAGCTTCTAAAAGGCGACTCGCATTCCCGATAGATTTTTCAATAAAGAGCCAGTTTTTTGCTTGCTGCTTTCTATTATTCTTCCTATTTTTACATTCAGACTTAAGCACTTAGTATTTGCAGAGAGCGGATGCTGCACCTGAATAGGATTCTCCTGTGTAAACACTTGACCATTGATTTCTTTCTGGTCTCTGAGCACTAATGGCTCTGCTGAAGCAGACTCTTACATTTTCTCGCTCAGCATGGCCACAAACTCAGATGAAGTGGTTTGATGGTTTAAAAAATATGTTTGCCAGCACTGTAGGTTGAGAGAGTTGGTGTCTGTTTTAGACAGGGGACTCTAGCTAGTAAGGGTATTACTGTAGTGTGTGTGCTTTAACACTGAAAATATATGAAGGATGGCTTTTCTATAATATCCCCATACTACTAATTTTCTTGAGAAATGCTGCACTTTTTTATACCATTATGTTTCTATAAGATACGACTGCTACTCACTTGAAGGTTTTGTCTTTTTGAAAGTGCTAGCCAAGAATTGTTTGATATGAAATGACTGCTTTGTCTGTCAATAAAGGAGCAGGAGACAGCTACCTTAGCATAAACACTGGATATGGAAAACAGCTAGCCTAGCTGGGTAAGAAAGCGTAGTTACTTATTTTGTGAATTCTTCTTTGAACTGGAAAATTTAGGGTGCTAATTTGAGACATCCTTATGAAAGGGTTAGGCGTATTGTTTTAGAGACTTGGGTGTATCCAAACTATGCTAATTGTGTGCTGATTGGTTAGAGTGCTAGCTTTAGCCCACATTTGCTAATAATTGTTTTACGTGTGAATGCAGTATTTGACCTATCAAATTAAAATGCTACACTTATTTTCTGTTCACGCAGGTCCTCAAACAACAAACATGGTAGAAATCTAATCGTTTGAAATATAACCCATTGTATAACCCAGGATAACTTAAAATTTCAACTTCAATTATTTCCAGTGACAGAAAAAAGCTTCCATGGATAACAGTGCTAACTTTTAATAAATATGACGCCACCACTAGATGCCACAGAAACTACTACTAAAATCTTATTGTTAGATGGTGGTTACCATGTTTGGTTTTTGTTTGTGTATTTATGTAACTTAAGCAAGCTCTTTAGATTGTTTGCTGTGCTTTTTCTACTATTTCTCTATTTTCTACCTTGAAATTAAAAGACAGATCAAAATACTCATTTTGCTCCTAAGTAGAAGGGAAAATCTGAAGTTAGGTTCTGTTTCTTGTATGATTTAAGCAACATAAAGCCAGCTTATAGTGAAGAATGTACCACAAAGAGAGCAGCATGCAAACACTAAATCTGCATCAGTTCTGCACTTGGGTTGCATTATGAGTGCCTGCACTCAAACTCAGATTTTTCGAACCACTCTGTGTCACCTCTTCTTCAGGTGGAACTAGGGGGGAAAAAATCCTGAAATTCCATTATGCATGAAGATGAGTGTTATGTGGGAAAACCACAAAGCACTCTGATGTATCTCTTTGATCTATTATCTAACAGACTTCCAGGCCATAATCCTAAGCACCCTTGAGGAGGACAGACCCTTTCTTTCCCCCTTCTCCTCTTCCACATGTGACGTCATAGCTGGGTTAACCCCTTAGCAGTCCTATTAGTCCCCTAAACCATCCAATGTCCCGTGGGCGGTACGTCCGACTGCTAACAGTTTAAGTGCCTTTTCTATGGGTTACAATGTCTTAAGAGCCCTACTTGGGGAGAAGGTTTGAAGAGAGTTGTTATATTTATTTATTTTATTCTGTTTACATTTTTTGGAAAAATAGTGAATTGGTTACAGTATAAATCATACCCAATTTGGTCTGTAAGCTTGTTTTCATATTTCAAAGCTAACTAGAGTGCATTCTCTTGGCAAATCCTAAAGCTTTGCTTGCTTTTCTTTTTTTGATAAATGCTAGGATGAGTTTAAAATGAAGCTCTTCATACTGTATAGCACTTCTGTGTTTCTTCCTTCCTGTGTTTGAGATGCAAGCCTTTGAATGGGGGCCATAAATGGCTTCCCAAAAAGCAATTTCCACTCACAGCTGCTTAAAGAAATCGTAACTTGTGATGCATTCCTTCTGGACATAAATAGATCCAGAAAGGACCAGGTGATGGAAAGATGGACAACAACCAGAGCAAGATGACACTTTGGCAAAAAACTGCCGGTGCTCTAAATAGTGTGAAAATGGTAGTAAAATAAACCTAAATGAATTGAGTTTGTTCACTTCTGTCATCAGAGGTAGCTATTAATCAGCCACCGAGTCCAAACAGTTTTTCATTCCTTCAAATACAATCTGTCCCTCGGTTCAACAGTGCATCTCTGACCTTTGGTTTGTTTGCACACAATTTGCAATCCCATCAGTAAATGGCATTGAATGCCTTAATGAAATTAACTGATTGGCGAAGTATTGATATGGATTTGTTTTTCCGATGCAGGCATCTTTTGGCTGTGACACTATTGACATCTTAAGTGAATTTTGATTTCTTAGTGCACTGGAGGCTTTTATCTTGTCTGTGTTCAATTCTTTTTGTCTTTCTGATAGAAATTCATGATGAAAGCGGTATGTGATCAGCCGAGGGACAAAAAGACACCTCAATTTGCTTTTCTGAATGCAATGTGATTATTTGCTGAGACATTATTAGGCTATTGTAGCGTCTACGAGAGGAATCGATAGTATCACTTTAGGGCAAACTCTGGATTTAAAATGACTTTGCCTCTGTGGGTGGTTGTATATTTCACGCTGCATGTTTGTTCTTCTTTAATGAACTCGGGCACAATTCAAAGCTGCTCAAATTTGTTCCTGTGATTCTTGAGTTTTTCACACTCTCTCAAAGCTTTGACACTATTTTGTGGTATTTATTTAGCATTTGAGTGTTTGGGGTGTTGTTTTTGTCTTTTGTCGTCTATCTTGGGCTGTCAGGAAGCATTACTCTGACAGGCCCTTTTGTTGTTGTTACTTTAAGATTGAAAGCAGAGTTTAAAACCAGTCCTCGGGGTGGGGGCAGCAAAATAAGTATAATTTTGAGCCAATAGGCATGGCTGCAGTGGGAGCACAAGAGCCCATAAAAGTCCTTTAGTGGACAAAAGAATGCTACAGTATCTCCTGCTCTTCAACACAGAGCCAGTGCCTTTTAAAATAATGTCTTTTATTCCTCTGTGACAATGTGGGCTTCACCGTTTTGCAGCGATAGCTGCACGTAATCTTGTGAATGCAAATAACCGGCTATCAGCTTTTGTGATTCAGGAACAAAGACATTTAGCTATTGTTTTCCTGTCTTGTTTCTGTGCCGCTAACCCTATACAAATGCATGTTTTAATGATTTTGGCCGTGCACATCAGTGCCGTATATTCAAAGGGAAACAAGCACTCAGTTGTTTTCTTTTATTCCATATATGGTCGGATGCAGGTTTTGCTGGGAACCCGAGCCAAGTGTTAGTCTTGGGCCATCAGGTTTGGCTCTGCGCAGATATGGGATTTGTTTTTTTATGCTCGGTTTTGCGACAACCTTTGATCATTCTCATATGTCAGCATGTTGCTTTGTGTGTTCTCTGTCCGCATAGTCTCATAGTTTGCAGAGCAGCACAGTCAGTTTTTGTGTGCTTCAACATTTGTTTTCATCAGACTGCCTTTATACGGTGATTTGATTGTTGTTAAGCATTCCATAATTGCAGTCATAGTAAGTTTGATAATAAGAGTATTTGTACAAGTACTGATGTGTTTATTATAAGGACACACTGGTTGTTAGTCCCTGGTAGGAGTTGCTTTTTACACATGTGGCTTTTGAATCAATACTTATGTGTTAACTGTGAATATTGTCCTCAAAGAAGGAACAAAACTGTTGCATAAGCAAACAAACCTATTTACAATTTTAGAAATTCCATTGGTTCTCAGCAGATGCCTATGAGCAAGCAAAATATTTTCTCTGTTCACGCATGCCTTATCCTAAAACAACAAACACGATGGAAATCTAATCTTTTGACATACAAGCCATTGTTGTGTGTGCGTGTGCGCGCACATGCTTGTGTATGCGCTTAAGTCTTTGTTTACCATGTGTGCTTTCAGAGTGCTTAATGCGCACAGATACTGCTGCCTCAATAATTCTTACACAATGGGAAACACTGAAGCCTTTGGTGGATCTGAAACACTTCACCTGAGAAATGTGGGGGTTTTAAAACTGCATCCCCGTCAAAAATCTCTCCAGTTTTTATTCTTTTTGTGTGTTTGATGTATTTTACTTAAAACATTTTCTTTTTAATGAACTGCAGAAATACTTTTATATTTCTAAATCTGTTGTGGTGGCCCTACATACATTTATTGCATCCTACCTATAATTTCTTCAGTGTATCTTGTTTGTGTAATAATTATTGTTGATCATTTACTGCACTGCAGGAGTCACTGACAGACCCATAGAAATGTTTGAGATGCTCAGGAATGGAATGGTGAAGAGTTGAAGGGTAAGATTTAGACTCTTTACTAGTATTAATATTAAAATTAATACGATAGAGAAGAAGACATTTCCAGTTTTACTGTTACTAGTGAAAAAGCTTTGGTGAACTGGGGATGGCCAGCCTTTTTTAACCTTTAAATAAAGTTGTATTTGTGCCACCTTAATGTCCACCCAACCCCATGGAAAGTCATAGCCTGTCCATATTTGATGTTTGTTTGACCCCATAAGGGCACGAACCTTGGCTGATCCTTCATCTGAGGACAAAGCTTATGTTTGCAGTGACATCATAAATGCCTGCTCAGAGAAAACAATGGCTGATGAATTTAGCTGGAGTCCAGCACACTGGACAGCAGTGACACAGAGACGTTGGCCGAAACTTCCAGTGTCATGGAAATGTTTCAAACAATGACCAACACCTTGGCCAAACATGCAGAGTACTCCCAAAATGAGGGGAGCTGTAGTCTGAAGAGATCAAAATGCTGTGGTTGTTTTAGGGACAGTGGCAGGGAGAGCCTGAGCACGGCTGGGATCATCAGGTTATAACACCAAGTGTTTATATGAATCTTTGTGACTGTTGGAGACAGTCAGGGATGGGGCACTGCTCCTGGGGGAAGAAAGACACTTTGTTTTTATAGGCTGCCTGGAATGTGTTGAGGACTCTGGACATCTGCTTTATTAGCATATGTGAATCTACCCCCAGCTATGTATCTGCTGGTGGTCTGATAATGGATCTTACTGTTACTGATAAATGTAAATACAGACTAGGATGCCTGGTTTGCGTTTTTTGCGCCGTTTAATTAATGGCTTTATTTTCATAATAATGTTTAGACATTTACATTCGAACCCCTGACTAAAGCATAGGAGGCAGGCTTTGTGAAATTCATGCTTTTTTGAATGGAAGTTGGGTTTTTTCCCCCCCTGTTTTCTCAGTTGCACTACTTTGCTGTTTCAGTCTGGCTCTCCTGCAGCTTATTGGTGTGAAAATTCCTCAGAAGCATTCTCAGAGTCATTCTCGGGTCGTTACAGATGCACCCCACCCATGCACTCATACCGGCTCGTGGATTACCATTTTCTTTGTTAAGCTAATTGCATTGCATTGTGTCTGTTTAAAAATCAAGTAGGGGGTATGTGAGCCTATAAATGAATGCACAAGGACTTATGGATGAGATGTATTTTCTTCACATGTAAATTAAATAATTGGCATTGTTGGATATGATTTTTAAAATGACTAATCGATTAGTTACATATTTTTTTCTTGCAGTTCTCTGCTCGAACTCGATTGTATTACCCTGTTATGAAGTCGACTCGGGTTGTTTCCTGCTATCACGTCTTCATGACAGAAAATTAATTAGTGTATGAATAATGCACCATTTCGCTTGCGATAAAGATCATGTGGCAAAGTGCCTTCAGACAGATATCATCTATTAAATAAACCAGGCTCGTGTAACCTAACACCTTGTGGGGAATGCACTCAATCAAGCCTATTGTTTCTGTTCACATACAGTTCCTTCTGTGAGATAAGTCTGACCTGGCCACGGAGATAACAACAATGCCCTAAAAGCACTGATGAGGCATTGACTGTCAGCGCCACAGTTAGCAAGATTTCCACCCAGATTCATACGCAATTCAGGTTAGGCAAGCAGCTGCGGTCATCAGAGGTGCAATAAATTAACTTAATAAATAATACAGGGAAAGTAAGCCATTGTTGCTAATATCACATTATCCCAGACTAATATTCAGACTCTTAGTCAGGATGTAATTTAGTGAGCTGGTGCCTGTGGTGTGATTCATGCAGCAATTTGATCATGCCACCATTTGAATAGGCAGCATAAATATTATGGCACAGAGGATGTGAGTCAGGACAGAGAATCCAGTTCACTGGGCCATTACTTGAGTTGAAAGGAAAAAGAGGAAGTTGGTTTGAAGATTTGTCACCATCAGATCTCTCTGTTTTAGAAAGGGGGTTGGCTCAACAAAGCTCAGGAATGTGAAGAAAGATCTGGGTGTTGGGAATGTTTGTTCCCATAAATAGGAGCGACTAGTCGCCAGTTTCTGGGTGGGAAGAACAGCTAATAATACTATTCCAGCTGCATTATTATAGCTCCAATATTAACTGATATAATACAGAGAATTTTAATTTAATTTACATAAAATATATAAATAAAATGATTTCATAATGTGGGACAAAATAGTGGTGCCAATATTTGGTGGTTCCAATCAACTTTCTTTATTTCTAACAAAACCTGCTTCAAATGCCTGAATATGCGTTATGTTTATCTTGATCAGCAGGTTTAGTCTGTTGCCACAAATCTGCAGTGCAACAGGTTAATCAAAACTGACCCTTTGTTTCGTGTCATCCTCCTAAAATGCAGATGTGGTTGTCTTGTTGTATGATTTTGGACCTAAATTCCTGCTACAAGCTCCTTTGAGGCAGTTGTCCATGCTCAGCCACTCATCACTGGTGGTGGTTGATGTATCCATCTGTGCCAGCAAAGGGGAGCTAATCCCTGACAACTGCACGCCTCTGACACCATGTCTGTTGCACTGCTGGTTGTGCGATACAGTAGCTTCTCCTCTTTTGTCCTTGAAATTGTTTTAATTATCCCCACAGCAGGGAGAAGTCGAAAACATAAGATTGAGACAGTAGGATGGACAAAAGTACACAAGTGTGATAGTACAGTGTTGCAGATGACAGTCAGTGATATAATTGAAAAGGTGAGTGATGTGAAAGCAGCAGTGAATCAACTTCAAATATTATAAAAGCATCTAAATGTTTATGGATAACTGAAACTTCCAAAGCACACGATGCCTTTTTAAATCATAGTTAATTATGCTTATTTTAAAATCAGCTACTCTTCCTAATAAAAATTATGACTTTTAGTATATTTTATTTATTTATTGTTCCATTAGAAGTATCGTCCTGTAGTTGAATAGCCAGAGACTAATTTAAGTGCGCATTAATGAGTATTTCATGAGCGATACACCCACTAGAAAGTTTTAAAAAGCAAATTACTTTAAAACTCTAGAACCTGTTATGCTTGCTAAACCATGCTTAACAAGTGCAATGTATGTAGATGTGTGCATGTGGGGGTGTGTGTGAACATGCATGTGTAGGCTGAGATAAGCCACAGCCTCATGCGATCACTTGTTCCACCACCGAGACTTGGTGGACCTCCCAGCAGCCGACGAGAGGTGCGCATGATCCGAGAGGATCATGTGACCTCTAAAATGCCGCAATAATCCAATATCCATGTCTGTTAGTTGTGCGCGTCACTTTCTGTTGGAAAGTTAATGCTCTGAATCTTTGTGGAATGCCAGCCTACGTGTTAACTTTAGATATCGATAAGGAGAAGACGGGGTCGTCATTTTAGGGCAAAGGTTGCCTTTAGTTTCTGTAGATTAAAATGGAGGTTGAAAAACTTAGATTGGCCATTTATGTAAATACTCAACCCCCCCTCCCAGTTTCTGCTCTCCCAAGTCAAACACCCATCCCCCTCAGACTCTCCTCTTCTCCTTGCCCCATGAGAGGCGAGATGGTGGAGGGGGAAGAGAGACAGAGATCCCAAACCATCTGAATCCCTTTTAACTAAGTGGACTGAGAGCAGTAGGGCAATTATTCCACCATGATGCATTCCTTTTCAAAAGAGGATGCCATCACCGTGCAACAAATGGAATGCAAGCTGTGTTATGGCCAGTGAAGGAATGCCACATCCAACTCACAGAAAAGTACATGAAAGAAAACATTAAATCAGGTGCTTTAAAAAAACTATATAAGTTGAAGCGTTCTATAAATTTATTAGGACCACAATATAAAAACAGAACAAAACATGTAAAGCAAAAGACATTACTTGAAGTTAAGTAGTATTTATTATGCAGAATCTCCTCAGTCGGGATGATGTTGTGATATGTTAGCAAAATAAATATCAATCAATCAATTATGATTGGTTGAGATGGAGCACAACTAAAATGCTTGTTACAAGTAACTACAGTTCCTTTTAACCAAATGGTCGACTAAAAAGTAAGATGTTTTCCCTGAAACACTGCAAAAACAAGTGTAAAATAGATCAAATAGTGACATTTGAGTGAAAATCAAGTATATGGATAATAACTAAAAAAAATAAAACTTCTGTATAGACAGCCACAGTCTGTAAATTAGGTAACAGTTACAATGGCTCAGATTGCTTTGTAACTGATTAATTCATGTTTAAAGCATATTTCAATAGATTCTCCCATGTTCAGAGCATGAATGCTTGGATAAACAGTGTGTGGTTTGTGGTAGCTGACCACAAGCTGTTAGTTTTCCTGAGATTTGATTATCTATCACTTACATTGTAGGCCAATTTCCTCCAACTATAAACACAGGCTTAATGATGAAAAATACAGCTGTGTGGTGTTTGAATGCCTACAATTAACTAAGATTAATAACAGCGTGCTGTGATGGAGCCCCCACCTCATACTCGGACCCTCAGGCAAAAGTTCTGTGAGAAAAATTTTCTCATTTTCAGTCGCAGCGTCAAAAGAGATGTGTTTTGTAAAGGTTTGCCGATCTGTCTGTTTGGAATTTGAAGGCTTTATTTTTCTATTTCTGTCAATTTTAAACTTTATTTTACAGAAAATATAAGAAAAAAAGGCAATTTTTTTTATGATAAATCATTTATTAACGCTTCAAAGCAATGTTTGCTTTTGTAGTTTATTATTGTTTTATTTATAATAACAATGCTGTTAATTCTTTAAGAAGATATAATAACAAATTATACACTTTGTGGTCATTAAAGATATGATTTTAGTCTGGCGGGGGTTCTTTTCCCATACCCCACCTGTAGATTGTGCACCGCTGATTGCTCCAGACACCCTTTCCAGGTCCACTTCTTCAGTGTTTAATGGAGCTCATCGTCCCCTACTAATTCTCTCACCATTTCCCCTGAAACTGGACACTCTGCCACATGTATCATCCAATAGCACCTTTCTTAGGAAGTGACTGGAGCATGGAGTGAGAGCTTTAGCACTTCTTTTAAAGAGTAAGACAATAGGAACAAGACAAATTTCCAACTGAGCAGCTGTGTGGTGGAAAACACTTGCCTTTGTGTAATCCTTCCCACAGTCGCATAGGGGCTGTCATATGCTCAGCATTTGCTCAACTTTTTTAATGGGGTTTTGAATGCATGTGGGGTGAAACCAAACACATCCTTAGATGTGTGAAAGTCGCAGGGTATAAAGACAGATGTATGAATGCTCAGTTCCTATTCTCCCACCTCATCTCTGTAATGATTTAGTGCCTGTTTAAGAAGAATTGCCTTTTTTGTCATATAGCCACAGATGTTTCCGCCCATCTGTCTTTTATTTATGGCTGATAAAGCAGTATATTTACATTCATCCTTACAGAGTTAGATGACAGTAGTACATTTGTAAATAACAGTGCTTTGTATCTATATGCTAAATTGCTAGCTTGGTTCAGATCTGTAGGAAAAAACAATGTGTCTTTGTATGTGACCTCATTGTTCCTTGGGTGAACCTAAGTCCATCTGAAAGCCTCACCACTAAGCAGCCATCTTGGTAATTCCTCCAGGTATTTATTTAGAATATTTTTTTATTGTTAGGGAAAATCAGCCGCTCTTTCATAATCTCAATTCTTTATTTAGCAGTGACAGCTATTGAACGTGACACGCGAAATGAACGCAAATTAAATTTCATTTAATGATAAAAATTAAAATCAAGAGTTATGATCTATTATATATACTATATATTATTTTAAAAAAAAATTTTTTTTTTTTAAATATACCTTGCTAGTTTTAATTATTTTTGCTAGCATTAGCTGACAACCATCTTCTCTAAATGGGTCACTAATGTCTTCAAAAAGAAAAACAAAAATGTAGTGGCTTCCTTTTGGGCATTTCATAGTGGCCAAAATGCCCCAAAGGGCTTTAAAACAGCATTTGAGGGTGCTTGTTTAGCTCATTGGGTTGAGCAGATTGCATAGATATGCTATAAGTCTGAGGTACCTGGGTTCAACTCCATACCAAGGCCAATCATGCTGTGTTTTTCCCCTGGTCTTTCTCACAGTTTTACTATTTCTTCCCCACTGTCAGCCACCAAAATACAGGCTTTAAAAACAGCTGTGAGGTTAATATGGTCTGGAAGTGTAGCTGGTCATTCTACTGGTCATTAGATTACAGGTGCTAACCCTGGTTACGACCCCAACTTCCACAATTATTCAGTGATATCTCAGTGGCTAAATGCCATCTGTTATATGCAGTTTGTTTGTTTGCTTTGCTTTAACCGGTGGAGAGACTCAGCCAAACATGTTTCTTTCTTTGTATTCATGCTAAGCTATGATTTATGCCGTAGCCTCATATTAACCTTACAAACATGAGTCAAACATTCAATAGTTGAGCAAGAAATCAAAATGTGTCCAATTTTAAGTTTGCAAATGGGAAACAGTAGCTTGAAATCTCTGCAGTCTGTGTATGAAACTTCCCAGTGTCTGCGTCGTGTTAGCAGGCAGTTTCTGTGTGTTGACACACAGAAAGCAGTCAGTTAAATGCGTCTGCGAGATAACTCCAGTCCGAGCCTTTCATCCTCTGGACATTTGGACGGAGGCTCAGACAGGTCAGGGTTAATGACAGGCTGTCAGTGCACCTTTAATGTACTACGTGTTGAGTAAAGGCCGTTTTCTCATCCGCACATAGATAATGGTTTTGAAAAGAAAAAGGTCAACACTGATAAATAACTGGATTTTGATCATCAAATATTGATGAAAAACGAATGATTCATGTCCCAACCTACACTACCCAGGTGAGTTCATATTTCATATCAGTGTAACCGACCTCTCATCTGTCCTGAAAAACATTTCCTTTAGGGAAGTCTGACTGTAATGGAATACTAGTAAAAAACAGAAGAATGTGCTTTAATTTGTCAAGGGGATCTGAGCTGACAACTTTAGTAAAGTCCACTATAACAACCTTCCAGGGCCCCTGACCTAGGGAGGGAGTGACCCCTGACCTTATTTGGGCCTCTTTTATGAGGACTTTTTTGGCTGAGCCAGATGGCTAAACTATCAAAGGGTTTTTTATGAGAAAAATCTGCAGGCAAGGGTGGAGTAGTATATTTATCTCATTGTCTGGAGGACCAAGCCTCTGTAACTTCCGACTAGATCGGGTAGAAAGAGTTGAAGACGAGTTACATAGCAGAGTTTGCACGTGGGAACCTACGCACTATCGATGAGCATACAAAATATGGATTTGTAATTATTGAACATGAGCTCCATTCTCATGTTTTAAGCCACTGGAGTTGGTTCATTAGACATACTTTTATATTTATCTGAAAAACATATTCATGCACACAGCATCCAACTATACAGTGCGATGTGTTTGCAAGATATTTAACTGTCTGGTCTAAAATTTATTATTAGCAATTTCTTGTTTACTCAGTCATCCAGTCTGCAACCAATGCAAACAGCAGCAGCCAGCAAGGAAAAACGACTCAGCAGCTCAAACAACCTGCTGTCAAATAGCGACCGGCAGTAGAATGAAATGAACAGCCTGTTGTTGAAAGAAGCTGCTGCTCTTCTGAAACTTTTTACAAGTAATGCAAAACTTGTGTATGGGCACATGTTGTAATGAATCCGATGTGTTGTTTACTAAAGATCAAAAATGTGTAGAAAGCAGGGGAATTTGCATGTTTGGGGAAGGGAAGAGTTGTGTGTCCCAGGGTCACTGTAACTTGCTCTGCTCACATCACTCATGTTGCATCTTTATGAGCGATGGCCTGTTTTGTTGGATTGAGTTTCTGGGGAAGCATTTAGGGCCCGTCTATGAGCTGTGCAATACAGGAATAGATTCAATATTCCAGTAAATGTTTGACGGGACGTGAGCTGTGCATAATCCGGAGCACGTGCTTGTACGTGCATGAATCGGACTAATCATAACAAAGCTACTTTATGTGTATAGTTATACAGGTGAAAACCCCACTCAGTAGCACCTTCTTATACGCTCGGGTCGCACAGCTGTTGTAAGCATTACCAGTTTGTTGTTCTCTACAGAAACAAACTCAGCTGTTCCCTCTGAGCCCACTCATCATCATCTTTGGACTTCTGTATAGACAGAGGCACAAAAAAAAGTAGACACATGTATCTAATGATTAGTAAGAAAAAAAAACAGGAGTTTTAAAATAGATCTGAGACCAGATTAGTCATGTATATTCAATTAAAATATAATTTGAAGGATTTATATATAAGCATTCACAATTGTTCCCAGATTCAAGATGAATTATTTATGAATTAACATCACTAATGAATCATTTATGTTATCAATTTTTATAACAAGGGTAACCTAAGCTGTGGTTTGCCTGGTTGTTTTAATGTGGCCATACCTTCCCCTGATTGCACTCAGGGGTCGAGTGAGATCTAAAGTAACTGGAAGCAGTTAAAATAATAGGAGCTTACCATGTGTTTGAGGTTATAAGAAGAGGAGGAATGGCCTCTTTACACAGAACAGCCACACTGAGGACTGCTGATGTTTACTTCAACATTTGGAGGACCTGGAGAGTGTGAATGATAAAAGTTTCTTTAAAGGGTTTTCATCAGGCAGGTCAAATCACAGTGCTGCATTACTTTGCATTGTATCCTGCCTCTTTGTGTTAATTTTGCATTATCAAAAAGCTAAAATCAAGTAGTCAATAACAATGACAACAGCTGAAAAGCAGCCGCTGCAAACAGAAGAAAATCGAAGCAGTTTTGGTTATTTTCCTCTGTCAGACAACAACTCAGCACATGTACACACCCACCTGCATTCAAAAATAGTCATTCTTACATAGATTCCACATAAGCTGTCTCCTCCCATTTTCATTCACAAAGAGAAGCGTGGTGGTGGGGGGGCGGGGCTAATCTTTTTCCAAATTTGTATGAGTCACTGAAAGAGCACAACAGGCATGTGCCATGTGCTGCAGAGAATGCCACTTGTTTTCCAGCTACAGTGGGAAAAAAATCACTTAAAGTTTGACTGAAACTGTTCACCATACAGACGTTTTTCACTTAGGCATCCTTTCAGTTTAGTTCTTCGCCATTTTGACTTCACAGTTTGATTTGTGTGTCTTGCAAATGAGCTAGAAACCAGATTTATGGGGGGGATCCTTCACCTTAAGAGGGTTTTTTTTTCTCCTAGTTTCACTGTTAAATCTCCTAAAGTTTAGAACACAAAGACCCCTCGGCGCTGACCAGCCCACCCCGCAGATGGCCAGAGGATCAGAGACTGTCAGCACGCTTAAACGAGCCAAGAGTCGAGGTTCCAGCCCTGCGGGGAGGACGGAGCATGAATGGGGTATTTCCACCAACTTCTATAGCCCCCCGCTGGGCATTTGTAAAATGATTTGTGGCAAATTTGTTTAATCAATATGGATGCGGGGGAAGTCTAAAGTCTTTCTTTTGCCTTCTTTTCCTGCCTGTAAATGCATCATTGGTCACTACCTATGATGACGACAAGATTACTTTCTGTTTATCTGTGCTTGCATGTGTGTGTGTGTGTGCATGTAAATGCTAAATAGAAGCATACCTGAGAGAAAGCACTTATTTATCAGTAGTTAACTGGATAGGGCAGGGATTCAAACAAGCAATACAAGTTTGAGTGATTCATTGCAGAGAGTTTCTTTTTAAAACATCTATTGAATGTTTGTTCTGAAAGAAAAATCCACTTTCATGTGCTCTAGCTGAATTTTATCGTTTTCCCCTCATTTTAAGTTGTATTTGTATGAATCAATAAAGTAATTAGTGTGATATGCTGCAAAGGTTGGAATGCAGCTTGAGAAATTTTTGTCAATAATTCGTGGAAAAAATAAATAAAACTGATGTCGAGAGCTTAATAAGCCCTGTTAATAATAAATCCTGTTTTTAGATTTGGGAGTTTTATTTATATTAGGAGTCACCAGCTTTGGGATCTTTTATGTGACTCTACTAAGCACAGTCATTTAAAAAAAAGTGTCTCTTCTGTATTCGGTCTGCATGGTGTCTTTGCAGACACGCAGGTGGCTTCGATCCAATTCTTCCAAGGCTGCTGTCTAGAAATCAAAAGACAAAGGCACTATAGGGTTTTCTCCTTTCTATCCAGCTTTTAATTTACAGTTTTGCTTGTTAAAGAGTAACCCCACCCCTTTTCTCTCTATACTTCAAACAATTCCTTATATTACAGGAGAGAGTGAGGCTGTTTACATCCCTCGAATTCATTGTTTTTGCTAGAGGAAACATTAAAAAGTAATTGTACCATAAAATGTATACATTCAGTCTGAGAATAATAGATACCGTGACCTATGTCCTGCATTTTATCCTGGATCCTATGCAAAGTTATTATTCACAGCCCTTTTCAGATGCCTGTTACTGACTCTTCCTCTAAATTGTTTGCCATTATAAACCTTGCAAAGCTCATAAGACCATTTGTCACACACCTTTCAACTCCACTGACTCGAATGAATTCAGCACACTCTCCAAATGTTTCTTTTTTTTTCAAACTTTCTATCTAAACTGTCACAGCAGAGCTTACCACACCACAGCCCCTCCACAGATGTTGGCAGAATTCCTAATTTTATTCTCTTTCTCTCAGCCTGTCAGTTTTGAAAGGGGGAAGCAGGACAGAAAATAATCAGCAGAACATCCCATAAGTCTCTATGTGAGGGCGGCAGATGTGGGTGTGGAGGGGGGGAGTTGCCACTGGGCCTCCCCAAAGACCCATCTGACTATTGTTCAGCAGAAAAGCCATTTCTGTGGTTGCTATAACAACCATAATGCACTCTTATCCATGTTCCTGTGCAGTACTTGTGGTAGTATGAGATCTGATTTTTTTTAAACTGTATTCACAAGAATGAGAATTAGCAGTCTTATTCAATTATTTTTTTATTGTAATTTTTTAATCAGAGTGCTATTCAACATGTAAGCCTGCATGGGACAAGAGGAAGATACTTCTAATAAGTTTTTATGAGCACACAGTAATAAGAACTATGATATTTAGGCTGCTCGTCTTACAGGAAATGCGGATAGATTTTTTTTTTTTAAGTGCCCCCAAGTAAATACTATTGAATACAATAGGCAGAAGCCGAGGGGATAAACAGTTTCATTCAGTGCTCACAAAAAGCCGTCAGTACATCTGGTACGTCAGGTCCACGGCTGTCTTTGTCTGCAGCCACTGTAAACCTCCACCCAGAGACTCAAAGCCCACCAGGTGTTTTAAAGTCTGTGGGCCACCGCATTCACTGTCAAGTGCTATATGCTGCCAGTTTCTTTTGTATTTAGAAAAGATTTACCCTTTCGATTCCCAAGGGCCCTTTAGAGTGCTTTCAGCTGATGGTAAATCTACCACTTAATTTGCATTTAATAATTTACTTATTTATTTTTTTTTAGATCTGGTTGCATTGCCACTAGTAATGCAAAAATTAAAGGTTTATTCCCAGATATTAAAAAAAAAATATCCATGTCTGACAATGTCAGCATTATGGCAACACTCAGTTTTGTCTTCTCATATTTAAGCAGTTTTAGGTTAATATGATTTTATATGTTCAATAAGAAATTCCAGATAGACTTTCTGCTTTTTTGCAAAAACTGAGCATGTGTGTCCGCATGATATCATTGCTGACACACAAAGACGTGTTACAGTCATTAATGTTTCATTGGCACCATACCATACATGTTCTCATCCCCCATGACCCAGCTGAGTTAGTTTCATTCTTCAGGTGACACTGAAAACAATGTGATCTTCCAAAAGAACACAATAAGAGAAATGTTAGAATTAAATTATTTGTACATAGTTTTCCCCTTCATCCCGCCGCTTGAGAGTGATTATTCATTAACTTAAATGAACATATATAACCAAATTTGGATGGTGCGCTGTACTGCTGTATAACCATTATATTCTCATAAGCTAATTAGAAGTGCGAGAGGACTGATATCCTGCAGCCCCTCTGCTCACCACTTCCCACCCTGTAAATCTTTATGGCCCTGACCCAGATTGCATCTCAGATTTGAATGATTGGCCCCCTGTTGACTCACAGCTTGATGTGGACTGCCCAGCTCTCCCTATCTCTTTGTTTATTGTGTCGCAGATTCTTTAAGTTTGACCTCCTCATCCCCCAAACTATAATTCCTTTAGATAATCCCATCAAGATTTGTAAATTAAGAGTGCTTCATTGTAATGCTTTTCTCCCTGACATCTTTATTTTCTTAAACAGCGTCATAAATATTATATATCTGTGGTTGTGCATTAACTTCTTTAATGTGTAACTTCAGGTATCGAATCTTATTATTGCGCAGATTTCTTTATTGTGGCTCTAACTAAAAAAAAACGAGAGTGAGAAGTGGACACAGTGGGGTTCTATTCATACAGTGAGCCCTTGTTTCCCCCAACACTCTATTGTTTATTGATGAAGGCAGTTGTCATAGTCATGCAATAACAAAAGCCTGACTATTGCTGTGTTTACATCTGCACAGGAACCACTGGGCAATTCTCCATTAAATTACAGCCATGTGTGGGCCACTGATCTCTCCCCTCACCCGCTAGCCCCTGTGCCACAGACACACACATTCACACAGATCCCACACTCAGAGTTGAGCTGGATATTAAACTGTTGCCATCACTGTAGACCAGGACTTAACAAATAAAACCAACACTGACTCATTTTGTGATGTCAGCGCCTGAAATTGTTTAAAATTGTGTGCCGAAACAGTTACTTCAGTTTGGGCAGAAACTACACCCGAAAGCTAAAATCAAAGAATTCACGAGCAGAGTAGAAGTTGTTTGTGGAATGCTGTAGCACATAATCTCCTCAAGCCCCTACCCCCCATCCTCTCAGTCAGTGGTGTGAGACAAATAAGCACTCATCTCGCTATCTCTGAAGACACTGATCTAGTTTAAAGAGTCTTTTATACTTCCTGTTCCACCCAGGTGTCATAACAATTTCCGGTTAAACTCTTTACATGGAAATGCGTTTGTTAAATTTTAACTTTTTATAATCAAGTACCCTCGATGAAATGGGTTTTTTTTTATATTTACTTGAAATGGTATATATTTGAAATTTTATTTGAAATGATATATTTTATATATCCCAAAATAATTAAGACACCTCTTAGAAAAAAAAGCTAGACTCACACTCAGTGGCCCTTGAAGAACGCAGAATCCACAAATAAGTAAACATTCTTTGTTTAAAAAGCTTAACTGCTTTTATTGCACTAAATGCACACAGATGGGTCCTGTTTCTCTGAAAGGTTCACATGTCCACTGGAAATGTCAGGTTTCCACACTGCAGGCTGCATGTTGGACCTGGACTGAACCTGGACTTAACTTCACATTTACGACGATGACAGAGAAAAATTTCCCCCTTCAGCAAACAAATGTCAAAAGAGCCTTTTAGCGTCCAGCTCTGCACGTACAACGTTCTGCACAGTGAAGGTCAAATTTCCAAGAAGGGTAACAAAACCTGCAGTCCATTTTTGAATAGAGAGACAAGTTGTTGTTGTTGTTGTTGTTGTTGTTGTTGTTGTTGTTGTTTTTTAAAAAGAAAGAAATTATTAGAGACAACCCATCTACATCTATGGAGAAAATTAGCCAGCTCTTTTATCTAATAGGCTCTACATAAACAGAAACATTCACCGGGAAAAACAATATTGGCACAGCCAGCAAACATCCAATACCTTTCACCTCAGTGCCCTCAGCCTCTATTCTAGGCCGATGCTACCAAACAAAAGAACAAAATACACATGTTCATGAAAAGGAGGACATTGCAAAGGGTGTTTGCTGATCAATAACGAAAACAGTCGGACACTATAGTAATTGCAGAGAGCCACTATACTTGTATTTTCTAGATAATGCCATGTTTAGGTGATTGAAAATCAACAGTGGCAGGGAAAATGACTGTATAGTCTTAAGAAAAGGCACATTGATTGCCTTCAAGCAGCGCTCACGTTCTGATATGACAAATATGAAGGGGGAAATCACTGGACCTAAGTAACAAAAAAGGTCACCCAAACTGTTTTCATTTTCTTTTCCTATCCTCAGCGTTGCTTACCCTTTCCATGGGACTCAAGTCTTGCATGAAAAAAAAAAACTATTCCCCTTTGTCCTTTGTGTAAATTTAATGACGTTATTTATGACTACAAGGGAGGAAATGTTTTAAGGGGCACCTGAAGAAAGCCATCAAAGGATAAAATAATAAAACAGGATCTGGGAAATACACTCATAAGAAATCCTGATGTCAGTGAGCAAGAAGCTAGTCAACCATTAAAAGACTATTTGTGGTGTCCTGCTGGTGAGAAAACATCTAAAAGGGTCAGACAGCCTGGCATGGTGTTTTTTTAGGTCTTTACATAGAACAAAAATGCCATTTTTCCCTTTTGCTTCTCCAGTAGACAGTTAATTATTTGCAATCTAACACGTGTAATGTCGGTGATTTAATCAAGGAGCTCGGGAATGACACTCAAATGTCATCAAGAGTGTTGATGAGGGTCATGTCAAAGAGATTCATAGCTAATGATACTGCATAGTAGCTTTTATGTGCTATGAGCCTTTAGGTTTTATCGCAAGAATGCACAATTTTACAAAATAATATAACCTCTACCTTTTATTTTAGACTTGAATATATAGAAAAAAGTCAAACGTGGTGTGTTTTCTTCAAACTCTGCAAGCTTCTGTTTATATCACTTTATTTGACAGCAAGGAAGAGTAAAGGTTTTCCAGAAATAAAGCTAAAAAACAAATCTGCTTGTTTTGACAGCAGCACTGATTGTCACACTGAGGTGAAATGGCTCACCCTTCCCCGATTGCTCTGTGCCTTTCATCTTTTACTGAGTCCTAAAAAACACATGTTCAATTCACAATTCCTGAGCAAGTGTCAGGCTGTTATTGTTTGTCCGCTGCAAGGTCGTCGTAAAGCTCATCGAGTGACACATCTGAGAAACTTAAAGTCTCTCTATCCCACAGCACTCTCTTGTGAAAAGACAAGGAGGGGGTGAAAATTAGGCCAGGATATAGAAAATAATAACTCAGTAGTTACTGTCCTGAGGCTGTTTTCAAGCTGCCTTGTTGGCCGTTTATGAGACCTTCTGTCACCAGTGTAGATATACTATTGTCAGATACATGACCTGGTCAAGGACACAGTATTAGGTTTGCTTTCTGCGTTCGCTGCCTCTTCTACTGCCGTTTCTGTTTTCTCAAAAATTACATAACTGAAACTGAACAGTGCAAAATGATCACTATAGATTTCAGGCACCAACAAACGCGTGTAACCTCAACACAAGGCCATTGAATCTATATGTCTCGATGGTGTATTACATTATACAAAGCAAGAATGTGTGTCGAATAGAAAACAGTTTTTAGTTTAATTCGCTGGTATATTTAATTATGATTATTTACTTATGGAACTTTTTTCCAAGCAGTCAGCCATTTTTCCAAATTTTACAACTGTGCACAGTTTAAATTGTATAGATTGAATGTTGAAGAAGCAGCGTATTGAAGTATGGTTTCTTATTGGGGCTATAAACTGTCTAGACAACACTCCCCTCTTTTTCACCTTCAGCAAGTCCCTTAAAGGACATTTGTTTATTTGAATATAATGCCGTGTCTTTGTCTCACACTTATCAGCTGTGGCATTATATAACACTTACTGAGGCATTTTAGAGTGATAGAGAATGGTAGAAAGGCCAGTATCACCAAGAGTTACTGAAACTTTGCATACTCCTGTCTGTAGGTCATTTAAATGATATTTTCTTAAATGAACATCAGCGCTTTCTCCTAGTATCAATCACTCTTTCATGCATGGAGCTACTTGTTAAAAAGAAAATCCAAATTAAAAATGTTTCCTGAACTTATCAGGGTCAAAAACATGTTTTGTATAAATACAAAAAAAATTGAAAGGATACAGTGCAAGCTGGTCTGATTTTCACATAGGAAGTTGCATGAAAACCAGCCTTAACTACAGTGTTGCGGTTTATACTTTTGTTTTTTGCTTTTCTTAAAACTTTAACATTCAAGCCTCAATCTATGAAGCATGAACACACTTGCCCTAACTTGCCTAATAGACTACAAGATCTGCATTTATGTGTCAATTGTGCTTCCACGAACAGTTTAATCCCTTTACAAGCTTTATATCTGTATGCCTGTTGCTTCTTTTCCTGTCAACATGCATAATTTTACCCAAAATACACTTTTGTCAAACTACAGTGACCTTCACTGTCCTCTATGAAAGCAACACTTTAGTATGCCCTTGGTATACCAATTAATGTCTGCATGAGTTAATCTGCGAAAAAGACCTACAAATAGAACTCCAAGGTTACACTACAACCATATTCTGTTATTCCTATACTTTGCCCCACACACAGTCTGCAGCAAGACTGTGTGTTTCCACCGGAACATATAGCACCCTTTAGAAATCTGTGGGTGACTGCTGTTGTGTAGTGAGCTATAAACATGCAGGAGGTGATCACTGTGCTCTGCATTAATAAAGGTTCCCCCTTTGTAAATTCTCCTTTGTGATGTGTAGTGAACTTCCTGGAATGTTTTTTCGGCACACCGACTGTGCCAACAATGTGAATGCTAATGTGAAGCAGGACCAACAGAGTCATTCCAGCATCATCCTGATCCCATAATAGAACCCTTGTTTTTTTTTTCTTTATTTTGATTTCCCCCCCCTGACAAAACAACATTATTATGGCGAGTACAGCAGCAGGAAATACAGTGACAGATTCAGCCTCTTTAATAAATAATACATCACTGCAAATGGTTAACCACACAGCAGTTAGGGACATCACCTAGCATCACAATAATTTATTGACCAGCTCCTTCAATGCAAAACCACACATTTTGAGCTATTTTGAAAAAAGAGTTGCGTAGTGGGGGAGCTTGACCGTTTGGCTTTCTCATTCATTCATTCAAATATAACCAACAAGACGTTGTTTTCATTTCATGTTTGACTCTGTTTCCTGTTATGGCTCAACGGTATCCTTAGATGACTGTGTTCCCTCCATTAGTGTACATCCTTGAGACAAAACTGCTCTAACGTTTCATATTTAGGAGATCAACATTTACTAGTGCACAATATTCTTTTTTAAAAAGATTAAAGGGAGGGGCACATATGTGCATGTACATGGTTATAGCCTATGTTTTGATGAGCATAAACTGACTTTCTGTAGAACTATTTTGCCATATTTCCCTGTAGGAACATCCTACTTAGTCTACAGTGATGCTATTGGATACAAAACGCTGTATGTAAAATATGTGGAGTTTCCTGGAAAGGGATGGCCAAAAACCCATAAACAATAAGTTGCTTTAATGAAAATAAATGGCATAAAGTAGGATCGGATCATTAAATTTCGCTGCTTTGAGTTTAAAGTCAAAGAAACAATATTTGGCTGAACTCTCGGTCGCCTTTGTCTTTCTGTGGCAGGCAAAATATAGTTTTCCTGAACAAGGAAAAGTACTATAAGTTGGGTGTTATTAACCCTGCCTCCATCCAGAGCGCCATCCACTAGCATGGCTCCTCCCGCCCCCTTCTGGCACTCTGCTCCGCTCATCAATAGGGAGCGCATTTAAATAATGTGTGAGCGCTTGGATCAGAGCCAATCAGCTGTCAGGGGACCGTGATAAATCGCAATGCATTATTGATAATAATAATTACGTTGACATGCGCATTTCTACTTCAGGGGTTAATTTTCCGAGCCGAAGAATCTGTTGAAGAAGGGGAGGAAATTTGTCTGTAACTCTTTGCTCCTGATGGTCGCACCATGTCGCGGCGCAAGCAAGCCAAACCGCAGCACATCAACTCCGACGAGCCCGGATCGATGGAAAATGGTAAGTTTACGCAAAAAGATGAGCTTGTTGGCAAGAAAAGTTAACATGTAGGAATGACACAGTATCGACATTTTATTTAAAAGTGTGGAGAGGGGCTGCTTTTACATTGTCTTCCTCGCACTTTGACCTGTTGCTGTCCCTCTCAACTGACCGGGGCTAAAACTTCGGTTGAGAAGCGACACATTTAGAAATCAGGTGCTCCACGAGGGGCTCTTTTAAATTGAAACATTGTAAGCTTTCTGTCTCTCTCTTTTTTGGTAAAGGCCGAAAAGCACCGTTTATTCTTGGCTCTGTTTTGTCTTGTTTCGTTGTTTATATTGACGGTTTGATCCTAATGAATAAATTGAGGTTGTTTCGCGGACTAAATTAAAGACGGTAAAGTACTTTGAACTTTTTGTTGATTCATTGAAGGGCACGTTGCTACATTTTGGATTGTTTACGCTTTTTACATTTAGAATAATTACCTAATTTGGACAGGATGCCTGTCGTGTAACTTTATTTCATTCACGTATTGCCAGCTGGTTTTACTGTTAAATTTGAATCGGCTTTTTTACATTTTGCGCAGTACCTTTGAGTCTTTGTGCCGGATTCCCATAGGTATCGTTACAGTTTATTCTGCTGTAATTATAATTATCCGTACTTTCTGCCCCTTGTAATTAATAATTGTGTAATCTGGCGAGAGTTTATTTGCAAATCTGCGCCTCAGTTGGAAGTTTCAGACAAAGGTACCCAAAACTGTATGAAATATGACTCTGTAGTAAGCCGACCTAAAGGCAATAAATCCCCCAGTTTAATGCATGACTGTTTCCTTTCGTACATATGTGGAGAGGTGGGGGATGGAGCAGTGGCCTTTTTGTGGAGACTGGGTGGGGGTGCGTTTTGGTGTTGCCATAAGCAAACTTCAGCGCCGCTGTAGCCCTCATAATTAGAAAACTTGGGATGACAAGTTTTCCCTTTTTTCATGAACTGTAGAGCATAAAATGCCAAAAGGTTATGCATGAATCTTATTCAGCCCGCATAAGCTGAGCGGTTATCTCTGACCTCCTCATGTTGTCCACCAAAGGTGATCACAGGAGGCTCATGCGCCGTCAAGTGGCGAGCGAGTGTGCTGCGTCCTGTAGTTATCTAATGATGGATCCGCTCTGATAAGGACTTTTTTTTTCCTTTAGTTTTAAATGCTGCTAAGCTGCATCATGGGTGCTTTTCCAGTCGACGTTAACAGTGTTGCAGAGCCATAGTTGGCGCTTCCTCGTGGATCAGAATGTAATGCTGTTTGCAAATTTTTCGTGACACCGCCTCAGTGCCGCCTGGTGAGCAATTAACAAGTCCAGCAGATTCCTTGGGCAAATGCAAACAGGTGGTCTACCCCCCATTCTTCCAGCCATTAGCATTTAACAATACACCCAGTTGTGAAATGGTCTCTGGTTAGCACACAAATTAAAATGCTCACTTGGAGCACTTATCAATCTTTCAAAAGACTGAAAAATGCTTGGGAAGTTTTTTAATAAATGTAAAGCTGTCTTGTGTTTGAGCCATTCTCATTTATACAATATAAAACCTGCAATTTAGAGAAATTGTTTCTATTTGTTTACCGTGGAAATAAGATTGATCTTTAACTGGGGTTAGTTTAGTGTAAGGTGTTTCTTTCTTTTTTTCTTTTTCTTTTTTTTTGGTGGGGGGGGGGGTA